CGGCCATTTTGAAAAATGTCAGAATAGAGAAACAAGATCAAGACAATGTTTATAATTTCTAAGGATCAAAGTATTTAAAGTTCCAGGATCACATTCATTTTATTACCAAAGGAACTACATAACTTGCATTCAGCTTCAGCTGGTTCTGTTACACATTTTCTTGTTGTTGCTACATTCCCTTCAGCTAGTTAGAAAAGCTGCCAAATGCTAAATGTGAGTTTTCCTCTCCCTGCTGACGGATCAGAGCCGTGATCTGACCGAGTTTCTGCACTCACAGGTGGAGTGGCCCTTCCCGCCCATCTGGACTTGTACCAGATGGTCAGGCCGTCCTCCAGGAGGCGGAAAATGACGCTGCCTCTTCCAGGAGCGGGACTTGACCTTCCTCAGGGTGGAGCCCGCCATCATCAGCTTGACGTGCGGGTCGTCCTGCAGGCCTGAGGGGAATTATTGACGTAATCAGGACAAAAACTACAAAGCATGGATCTCAACAGTGGTGGGAACGTTTCATCAGAAAACTTCTCAAAAGATACAACCAGTAGCAACATTTTGAGAACTCCAGTATGAATTACAGCCAGGAGGAAGCGCTGGAGGTTCCTCCTCAGTTTACCAGGAACTGAGGAAGTTGTCTTCCTGTGACAATCAGTATTTACTGAAGCTTTCAGCTTCAACAAAGGAAAAGGAATGACTGACAGGCAATCAAAGGTGATCCAACGCTTTGATCAGTGTTGGATCCAACCAAACAGTCATGCTGCTATCGCTAACTGTTAGCAGACAAGCTAACATTGTTTGCTACTCTATTTGTGTAGAAATCAGATAAAAGGTATCAGAACTGATTTATTTATCTGTGTTCCTGCTTTGATAAGTTGCAAAGAAGCAACATTTTCAAAAGGAGAAATGTTTCTACTCAGAAACATTTTTAGTCATTTTTTCACTATTCTAATAAAAACTTTATGCCATAACAAACAGAAAACCAATGTCCTGCAGACACTGGTCATGTCTGCAGGATGCTCATCACTAGAAACCTGGCATTTACTCAGGTTGTTTGTCATGACAACCATTAGGTCAAAGTTCAGGGTTTTGACTCGTGTTCATTGAACCTGAAAGTTTCCAGTTTGAGGAGGTGAAATACTCACATGAAGCTTCGGGCTCCATCTTTATCTCTGGAATATTTTCCTGTGAACGAAACAGATGTTGGTGAATTTCTCTGGCCTGAAAATCCAAACCAAACCAAAACGTTAGAAAAGAATCAGGTTCTCTGAAGGTTTTCTCTGGAGCTCGCCGCTCAGCTCAGCTCGGCGCAGCTCAGCTCGGCTCAGCTCGGCTCGGCTCAGCTCGGCTCAGCTCGGCTCAGCTCAGCTCAGCTCAGCTCGGCTCAGCTCGGCTCAGCTCAGCTCAGCTCAGCTCAGCTCGGCTCAGCTCGGCTCAGCTCAGCTCGGTTTCTGTCCAGCAGGCCGGTGCCGGACGGGTTTGTTGGTGGGAATAAATCACGTCTTCCCAGCAGCCTCCCTGCTGCTGCAGGAATCTGAGCAGCGGGACGCTGAGCTTTGATTCTCTGGATCTTTGATGATCTGGAAGCAGAGGCCCGCTCAGGGCTGACGGGGAGGAATCAGAACCGACTCGGACCGGACCGCACCGGACCAGAACCACTTCCCTCTGATTTATTGGCTGTGATGCAGTTTTCCCTAAACGGATCCAGACGTTTTGATTGAGAAGGAAAAAGTCTTTGCTTCTGTTTTAGTTTTTCTCTCTCATCACAGAAATTCAATTCTTTTTTCCATGATTTAATTTGTGAAGAGGAAATAAAGCCGCCCAAACCCGGTCCAGTATCAAAAAGTAATTGGACCTTCACTACAGAACTTGATGAAAACCTGCAGTGAGTGTTTCCCGTCATGCAGGAGACGTCTGACCCCCTGCTGGGCAGTTTTGCTTAAATTCAGTTTCACTGGAGTGTAAACTATTTAAATCACAATCCTGATCAGATTCAAGTCCAAACTTTGACTAGGACACTCCAAATCCTTCAGAGGTAAAATGCTGGTCAGATCCTCTCCTTCAGTTGAAGTTATGGTTCCAACAGTTACAGACGCCCAGGTCCCAGATCACCACACTGCCACCACTGTGCTTCCCTGAAGCTGCTGTTCGTGTTTCTCCGGACGTTTCGGTTCTTCTGTTGTTGGATTTCTGTTGGTTCTGGAGGCGACGTGTTGTCTCAGGTTCTGTTTACGTGATTCTTGAGTCTGATTGTATTTTTCTGTTAATCCAGTTGCATAAAAACCTGAGTGACTAACAGTCCACCTGCTGGCCTCAGCTCAGGTTTAGTCAGATTAAAATCAAAGTGTTTGCACTTGCAGCTGGAACCTGGCAGCTGATTGTAGGAGCAGATGATGAATGAATGAATTTGTGAATGGGTGAATGGTCAGTCAGTTTTTGACAGTTGAATGAAACGATGTCCTGCCAACAGGAGTTTAATGAAATCGTTGGAAAAAAATCAGTTTTTGGTTTCGTTGGTGTGAAGAAGATAAAGGGATGACCTGCTCAACGGTCCGGGACGGTTCTGACGCTAAACCATCTGACCAGGTACCAGTCAGCGCCTCGACCCAGTGAACCCCCAGCCTGAACCTCTTCACTGCTGCCTGCTGATAAACCGACCCGGAAAGCAAAAGCTTTCTCAGGTTGCCGTGTCATAACTATCTCTTCCTTTCATTGTCTGTCTGCTCCAGCTTCACTCTGCAGCCCGGCCTTCAGCTGCTGCTGTCGTCTTGCTTTATTTTGGGGGCAGTGAGTCACTTCCACAGGGAGTTCACTGATCACACACAAACACACACGCGTGACTCAGAGGCGTCATGAGGACCAGCAGCATCTGACGGCTCTCTCAAGCCTTCTGGGGTTTCATGCAGCTCAGGAATGCTGGACCCCCAGTCAGAGCTGGAGCCGTCCAGAATGGAGGAAATCTGAGTCGAGGAATGTTGAAACTCAGGAGGATTTCAGAGTAAATTAGAAGCAGAAGCAGAAAGAAAGTTTTCATGCATGTGCAGCTCAGAGAGGCCAGAATGACTCGGGGAAACAAGCAGCAGTCTGACGCTTACCTGAGGGATGTGCTCCTCGGATTCAGAGTGACTCCAGGAGTCTGAGGCTTTAAAAACTGGGAATACTGGAGGGGAAGTGAGTCCCAGTCTGACTCCTCCCTTCCCTTTCCTCCAGTTCTGCTGCTGCTGCTGCTGCTGAGTGTGAGAAACCTGATTCCCCAGCGGCTCCGCAGCGCTCCCTCCTCCAGCACCGCCTCGACCCGCTGCCTTCCTGCCCGGCCACTCCCTCCTCTAGCATCAGCGCCGCGCTGCACAACTCTCAGCTTCCTGATTATTGGAAACAGAGTCGCCATTAAACCAGGCCTGAGAACAATAACCTCCATTAAAGGCTCAACCTCAGTTCCTCTGATTGTATAGAGGCTGAGGAGATAAAACTGTATCTAAATCGAATCAAACCAGCAGTGAGTCCTGACCTCACCGAGACTCACTGGGAGGAAAACATTTTCCTCCAACTGAAGTCAAAAATGTTTCACTTTTTATCATTTTTGTTTCTTTTTAGAAAATTTGAGATTAGTCTCTAAATTTCTGACTTTTTTTTGTCAGAAATCTGAGAATCTGATCTAAAACGTCCTCAGTGTCAGAGACGATGCCATCAATAAATGGTAACACTTTTGAATGTTTGTTGTTATTCTGTGGATAATGGCACTTTATGACGTTTCATAACAGTGATAATTGAAACCGCTTCATGTTGATGAGTGTCATGTCCGCCTGTTAAACAGGATGATGAAGCCCAGGGTGAAGAGCCCGTCTCCCTCCTCACATCGCTGTGGAAACTTGGCCTAATGGCTCCGCTCCATTTCAGCCGCTGCAGCTTTTAAATCGTCTCCCTCTGGGATTTTAGTCTCAGGTGTTTTTCCTCTGTGATGCTTCCGGTCCATCTGTCCCGGTCCATCCGTCCCGGTCCATCCGTCCCGGTCCATCCGCCCCGGTCCATCCGTCCCGGTCCATCCGCCCCGGTCTGTGGGGTTAATGGATGGAGCAGGAAACGAGCCTCATTAAGGCTCCAGACTTTCCACTGTGTCTCTCATTACCTTCCCCAAAACCAAAGACAAAACTTCTTTTACAATCTGACAACACATTTAAATTTGACCTGTTTTTTTTTTTATTTTTTTAAGCCACTGCATTAAATTTCCATAAATGACACTGAAAGTACAGAAATAAATCTTGTTTTCTTGCCATTTATGGAAAGATTAAAAACTTGAACACTGCAGATTAGTGAGAATTTTACTGTGATGCTAATTAGCAACATCAGGCACTGAAGGAATGAAGTTCTGCTCAAGTTCAGTTTTTATTTAGACTTTAGAATAGAAACTAAATGTTTTGAATAACTCTTTATCATTATGCTGTTTTATTGTCTCATGAGCTCCTGGCTGTTTTTGCAACATGAAATCAGTTTTACAAATGAAATTTCTACATGTATTTTTGAGTAAATTCTGTTTATTATTGTTAGTCTGTTAAATATTTAAAAAATGGTTTTACTGTGTAACTTACTAGCCTTCTCTTCTTTGACTATAAATAAAACATTTTATTGGGGTATTTACAATATATTTATATTTGTCTTTTATTAAGATGCATAATACTTACATTCACGTAATTTATTATTCTATAGTTATACTTATTGCTTGTTAATAATCATTTCCATTCCTTCGCTGCCTGGAGTCACCAAAGAGCTTCACACCTAAAATTAGAATCATTTTGGTTTCGTTTCTAATTTCATTGATGTAGGCGACATTAGTAAGTCTCAAGGTTAAGATTTACGGAGTTTATTGGCGAAATTGAATGTGATGCAGTTCACACTCCATTAGATGGTACCAAAGGATTTCTAATGGGATCCTTAGCATGAGAAGAATGTGTCAACATTTTTTTCCCTTGGCATCTAACTAGCTTCATTGACATATTAAGTCATAATTTCCTGAATATGTTGAAAAAATGTTTATTTAGAAACACGCAGAGGCCAAGAAATCATCTCTGTACAAATGAGTGGACGAGTACAGCCAGGACAGAAGCTGCTGCCTACGGTACAGAACCCAGTTCACCCATCAGACGCTGCAGGAGCGTGCTGCAGGAGCGTGCTGCAGGAGCGTGCTGCAGGAGCGTGCTGCAGGAGCGTGCTGCAGGAGCGTGCTGCAGGAGGCGACGGGTTGCTGAGGGAAGCATCAGCAGCAACTCAGGAGACCATCAAAGGGAAGTGATGTCATCATGAACTTCAGGTTATTGGTGATCATCACATTCTCTCATTTTTTGCAAAGCTTCACAGGATTTAGTTCCTGTTTGTTCCTTTAATCTGTGAAATGTTTCACCTAAACATTACTGTCAAACAGTTCAGAAAAAATATTATGTCTCAGTAAAAGTAAAATCTACAGTTTCTGAAATTCAAGAGTTCGTAATCCAAACAAAAACCCCTCGGTCGGTCGCTGGTCGGTTTGCAGTGAGCGGCGCCGAGGACAGTCCTAGCACCAGGGCGGCCGGCAGCAGGGCGGCCTGTCGGGCGGCCGGTCGGGGCGTCACTGCGGGGCGAGCGGGATGCCGCGGGCGTCCGTCACCTGGCCCTCCTGCAGGTTCTTGACGAGCTGAGCGAGCCAGCGCTTGGTGGTGGTGTCGTCCTTCAGAACCTGGGCGAAGGTGCTGTCTTTCAGCTGGTCCGGCAGACACTGACGCAGCGCCTCTCTGGCTCTGAGGAACCCACACGAAACCAGGATGAAGGAAAACCACTTTTGATGAAGAAGAGCTAAAAATCAGGCAGATTCTCAAACGAAGAGCAACACAATGTCTCCCTCAGGTGTCATACGATGCTGCAAAACTAAAAAAAACAAACAAACAATACAACAGAAAACTTTTGCTTGTTTATAACTTTTGACTAATATGTGATATTGCTGCCAAATGTATTTATTGGAAGAAACTAGTGAGGGTCCAGATGATGCAGAAACTTCAGGACATGCGCCGAGCAAACAGGACAGAACCTGATGACAGAACCTCCAGTCGATATTAAAAATGACAAACTTCAGTCGGTAGAAATGCAGACATGCTGAGAAATGTGTGGCAGTTTCTTCAAACTTCTTTGTTTGTTTTGAAAAAGTCTGATGCATTTTACTGCATCCTGCTCCTGACTGATACTAATCATGTTCTGCAAACAGGTGATGGGAAATTCATCTGCACTGATGTCGGCATCGGCAGATGGAGGCCATTTTGTCCAGACATCGGGAGCAGACGTAAAACTGGCTGATGTTTATTTTCATTTTGAGGCTGTTGGTTTCTGGGGGTCATGTGACAGCGATAGCAATGCAGCACAACAGGTCAGTACATATAATTTATTGGCCATTAGGGGGCGCTGAGCCTCCGGCTCTGAAGTCGCTGAGCCAGCGTGGATCCAAACCGGGATGCGTTCAGAGGAAATGTCCAGGAACAGAACCATACTGGTCAGAACCTTTAGAACAAACTGGGTTCCCTGCAGGAAACTGGTTTTAAAGACGCTCGATGTTAGAGGAGCAGAGAGAAACGGAAAGATTCGGCTCACAAGCTAAACCAGGATTCCTCCATGTCACCCGGAGACTCCGACTGTTAGCAAAGCTCATCAATATAAAACCCTTCACAATAAAGTTCCAGCTGCTGGATGGATGGAGAAACAAACAATTTTACTCAAAATGATCTGAAAATACAGAAACTTTTCAATAATCTGTTTCCTTGTTTCAAACGGAAAATCTCTGGATTAAATTCAATGTTTCCAGGCCTTTAAAGACTCAGATAGAAACTAAATTCTCTGCTGAGTTTCACCAAATAAATCCTGAAATCTGATTCTCTAAACACGAGCGGATCGGATTTAGCCGTTTTCGTTTCCAAACAGCAACAAAAACGTCAAGATGAGAAAATAAACGGCTGTTACCGTCTGTATCCTGGAGTCAGAACGGCGCCCTCTAGTGGTACCAACTCACCACTGCACTGTAAACTCAACCTTAAATGATCAGAGTTTTTCTCCCGTCTACCTGAGGTTATCCGAGAGGCGCAGGTAGCAGCGGACAACGTGCTTCAGCAGCCGGGCCGACGGCTCCTTGGAGAGCTGCAGCACCATCTTCCCCTGAGGAGACAGAGAGCATGATGGGAACGCCGCAGCGGTGCCAACACCCGCGCCGAATCCCGGCAGAGAAACCCACCAGAATCATGGCCACATGGGAGAAACGCTCGTAGGTCTGGCAGATGTAAGCCAAGCCGGTGTCGTCCAGGAGGATCTTCTGCAGGATGAAGGTCGCGACCTGACGGGAAAACGGGAATTATGGGATAACTGAAAGAACATTTGAGTCTTTTTAGAGGTCAGTTTAGATTCTGAAATGAGGAAAGTGATCCCAGGAGAACGTCTGATTCTGCTGCTGCAGTTTTTACATAATAATACAAACTGAAATCTGATGAGTTTAAGGTCTTTCTGAAAGATTTTCCGCCACATCCAGGAACATGAAGCACCATTTGGAACAAAATATCCACAAACAATCTTTGTCTTGAAATGTTTCATCATTTCAAAACAAAGTAACCAGACAGAAAAATAACCAGAAATTACTTGAGAGAAATAAAAATGTTGTAAACATCAATACAGCCTCAACAACGCAAACTTTTTGTTCCCATCCAAAACTGCCAGGTATCTTTCTTGGTACAAAATATAATGAAAACGATTAAAAAGTAGGATTGTGATGCTGGGAAAAAAAAATGGGCTAACATCGACCATTCTTGCATTGGCTTGGACATTAGAGCTGACGATCCAGTTGACTCGGTTCTACTGGAACCAAAACTGGGCTGCAGGAAACGCAGCGAGTAGCTCAGGTTCATAAACTGACCGACTAAAATGTTTCCAAATTCATTTCTGAGGATTTGGAAACTGCAAAGTTTTACAAACTTCACCGTTTTGGAGAGTTCGCTCCCTGACTCCATGATGCGCAGACACAGCGGGATGATTTCAGTCGTCAGGAGGAAGTTGATCACTTCCTGTTCGTCTGTTTTCACCAAAGCTCCTACAAAAACAAACATTTAATGATCTGCTGGAAAACATGGAAGTAAACCAGCAGAGCTCCTGAAGAGACGCACCGATGACCCCCAGGCTGGTGAGGCGCAGGTACTCGAAGGGCCGCGTTTTGCTGACGGTGTGCAGGAACGGATACAGGAAGAGGGGAATGTGAGCCGCCAGGAACGCCGACCTGATGGTGGGAAAAGTTTAGACTTTTGAATTTCAGAAATACTTCATCTAAAAATGTGATTCTTTTCCAGCCAATTTTAAAAACGTTTCAGAATGTCTGTTTATCTGCAGGAGCAGAAACTGAATCCGGCGGCAGGTTTGGGTTTTACCGCGTCTCAGGGTGCGAGGCGACGCACTGCAGCAGCGCCAGCGCATTGCACACCCTGTTGGACTGGTGAGCGGTGAGGGTGGGAGGGTTGATGGACGGGTAGATGTTCACTATTTCCTGCAACCAGAAAGAGAAATCAGCCAGAGTCTGGACCGGAACCGGGCCGGAGCGGGCCGAGCCGCTGACCTGCAGCAGCGCGGCGATGGTGCCAAAGGAGTGCCAGAGCATCGGGGCGAGGTCCGGAACCGACTCCCGCTTCTTGCTCAGCTCCAGCAGAGCATTCTCCCTGGTCTCCGGACTGGACAGCTCATTGATCCACTGGTAGATCTTCTCCCGGTCCACCTGGGCCAGCGCCGTGACGTTGGTCACGGCCTGGAACCAAACAGACACATTTACCGGATCGCCCTCACCTCACACCCTCCTGTTCCAATCCTCTTGAATTTGGCAGCAAATTTAGCAAATGTCTTCAAAAGGGTGGCATTATTTCCTGTTTTCCAGGCCCATACTGCCGCACAGCACTATCAAGTCACTATGTAAATTCAGTTGCTACAAAAATGCTATAGATATCAAATATGACTTAAAATAAATTAAGAAGTCTGTAAAAACTTCTGCTGTTTCTGAAGCTCCGCCTCCAGGAAGTCATCCCAACATGGCTGCTCTATTAACCCTTTCATGTTTATAACAGCGTTGCTCTGAGCAGCAGCTCCTATGGTAGGCTCAGCAGTTTGCTAATTGCTGCTGGCTAGTCTGAAGGAGCTGAGTGGGGGAGGAGCTTCACTTGGAAGGCGGAGCTAATTCCAAACAGGATTTTTGCACAGCTGAGTGGTTGCCATGGAGATTAAATGATTTTTCAAACATCCATTAAAGAATTAAGGCAACACTCCAGGTATGTTTTTGAAGAAGGAATAACACTATAATATGATGTAAAGCTTAAAAAAGTTGATTTTACATAATACTGACCTTTACTATGAGTAAGCAAAAGCTAAAATATTAATACAAAATTGTTGAAAACAAAAGAAAACTCCAAAATAAATGGAAGTTTTAGTCTTTTCCAGTTATTTCTCATTAAACAAAAACAAACTCAACCCTTTAATCTACTGATAATCACTATATTTCATTTTAGGAATGATGGTTTCATTATGATTGTTGTCACTGTAATGTTCAGTCTCCATCAGGCACTAGTCAGCCATGACAGTTACTTATTAAACTCAATCAACTGAACTTTATTCCAGACATAGTGCTGCCAAGGTTTCAATCTCTGCTTATTTAGTCCCATTTTACAGTTGGTTAATTAATAAACTGGCTTGTTTTCTTTTCATGACTCTGTAACTAAACGGACCAACAGTGGTACACGGACCACAGCTTGATAACCATTTATAGAAACCCTTCTCTTTGCTGCTTTATTTTGGTCTATTAGAAGCAGTTTTAACCAAGTGTCCATTTCTTCTTCTTCTTCTCCTCTTCCTCAGTCTAACCTGACAAAGATCGTCTTTGGAACAAGATGCTGGAACACCAACTAAATTAGATTCTGTGGTTTTTTTTTTCTGAAACTGGTTCAAAAATAGTTAAGTGAAAATGAGTAAAACCTTCAGAAACTACACATTAACTTTTACATGATTAGAACAACGGGTTACTGCTAATCATCGCCTATTTCAATTAAAACAGACCCGAATAACTGAAGCATTAATTGTTATTTTAAAATGAGAAATAAAATGTGGAGCTATGATTCCTTCAGATGAAGTAAATCAGTCATAAAACAAGCAGAGACTTGTTTCCTAATGTGTAAAATAGATCCAGCCAGTGTTTATAATGATGCTAGTTTGTTGTAGCAAAACAGCGAGTAAAACCCGCTGGTGTGAAACACTCACCGCTCCCGTCGTCAGCATTCTCCGGACCTCTCACTGTTTTCCCTTATTACTCTGAAACTCTGCGTATCAGCTAAACAATAAATCTATTAACTTTTCACTTGTATCTATTTCAAACACGATATGCACTTTTAAACTGCCTGCTCCTCGTTCAGTAAATACAATCTTTCTATTTTTGTTCAGCAATGGAAGCTAACGAGATGCGGACGTGACAAATATCGCGAGAGGACAGAATAGCCCCGTTCTCGTGTTGTGGATGTGTTGATCGTGACCGATCAGGCTCAAAATACCGGTTCTTTGACAAAGTTATGCGCAACCCCGGTTCACTGCTGCGAACCGTTTCTCTCTTATTTTAAAGACATCAGTTGACAACGAGGCCAAACCAGAATTGTATAAAGGTCGAAAGGAAGAGGAGTTGCAGTAGTAAATAAATAAGTTGTATACAGGTGGAAATGTGTGACAGTTAAATGGTATAGCACGTGGATGAAGGCGCAGTAGTCCACATTTTGTAGTAAGAGCAATAAAGGCATTCTATGCTGCTCGTCAAAACGGGGGCAGTTTGATAAATCAAAAAATATTTCCTTGAACTGGGTTAGTATTAAACATATGCATGTCATAAGCTCCCATATGACCTTGGGCTGGCCCTGCACTGTTGCCTTGTTTTGTTAGTAAACTCTTTTTTCCTAATATTAATAGGAATAATAAAACTAAAACAAAAAAATATTTTTATTTACATGGACCAGTATTCCGCGTCTTTAATAAAGCTTGGAAACTTTTACGAACGGACGTGTTTTTTCTCTGTTTATTATTATATGCCACGTTATTATGTACAAATGTTCAAACTAATTAAAAAAATTAAGACGCTCTAACCACATGAAGCGAAATGGCATGGATCCCGGAAGAGAGTCGGAAGTTCCATCACCATCTCCTTTCCGTTGTAAACGTTCACATTCCCGCCATCATCGCGCGTTGCTGCGAAGCGTCGCGTTCACTGTCAACAAGAGATCCCCGCAGAGCAGCTGAATGCCGGCGAAACTAACTTTCTGTTCCCGGAGGACAACCCACAAACACCGAACCACATTCTGCGCTTCCCAAGGCTCGTGCTCCGCCGTCTTCAGGTAAAGAACCGACGAGTTAATGTCGCTGTGACTCTGTTTCCATCACCAAGTTACGAGCAGTAATTAGCCACTCAGCTAGCGGCTGCTGCTAGCAGCTCTGCTAATGTCGGCCTCCCCCATCCATTCAGCGCCCACGGAGAATAAGACGGAGCCCGCCTCCCAGACGTTTCACTGGGCTTCGCTGTTCTTCCCGGCGCTCGTCCGGACCGGAACCTCTGTGTTCTGTTCTGTTAGAATCATTCAAGTCGACGCCATCAAACGCAGCGGCAGAGAGTCGGCAGTGTTAGCTGAAGCGAACCGCAGGCTAAACTAATGATGGACAAACAGAACCAGGAGGAATGTCCTCATCTTTTGGGAGATTTGGTCTCTCAGGAGAATATTTTTGGGTCGTAACCTCTTGGATTGGTTCCAGTCGACATGGACTTTGTTGTCATTGAATAAAGCAGAGAGCTCCAGCCGGAACCTTGACTGTAACGCTGGGTTATTGGACCGCCAGCGCTTCCCTGAGCCCAAAGGAAATGAAATGCTGTTATCCAAATGTGTTGCTGCATCAGAGCTTAAGGAGCCTCTGACTGCAGATCAGCCTCCAGACTGGCATGGCCTGCGTCCAGCGCAGCATCCAGGCATCACAAACGACATTCTTTGATTTTCACCATGTTGCAAACGATGACTGCTGTTCATAACTTCATCTGCATGCTAACACAAACTTCCTCTGCTTCAGGAATCTTCTGGCGGTGCGCCATCGGGACAGTGAGCCATGGCAGTGCCCAAACTCTCCAGTGGTGGAACAGTGAAGATCCGATTCAACAGCATGGACCTGGGCACCACCAAGTGGAAAGAGGGAACGTTTGAGATCCTGGAGAAGGACAACAAAGTCAACCTGAGCTTGAGGTACAACAGCGGTGGAGCAACCAGGACCTTCCAGGTAGACGGACCGGGTCCATCTGCGGCCCAACCACAGGCTTCATTTTATTTACATTGACTCTTAGAAATAATTCATTCAAATTTATATACTTTACTTTTTAGTTATGTTTTTACTAGAAATATTTTTCTTTTATATTTTTTCTTAATCAATAAAATGTTTGTTCACTTGCTTTATTTTTATTTATTCAGTTATTTATTTCTGTCTTTAATTGTTAGATTTTTATATTTTCAAATATTTTTTACTTGTATATGTAATTACTTTTTTTTATATTTTAAATGTATTTTTGTGTGTTTATTATTGAATTTGTTTTGATCCATTTTCATTAATTTTGCATGTTTTTTATGGTGATGTGATGCAGAGAGTGGAAACAGGATGAATTTGACTGAAGTGAATGTATTTTGCTGCCTGCAGCTGAATCAGAACGTGAAGAGCTGTACCCAGAACCAGAACCGGATCATGCTGACCCTGAAGGACAACAGCGTCATCACTCTGGATAAAATGCCCGCCCAGCTGGTTCAGAGGACCAAGGAGTACCTGGAGAAGCTGAAACAAGGGAAACCGGGTAATTACTGCGCCGCTCATCCAGTCAGATCTGGAAAATCAGAATGTTTTACGTTGAACTCAGAATGATGGCAGAAAATGTTAAAATTACATATTTGTTCTTTTAGTTGTGCTTCAGCCTCTGGGGAGTGATATGTTTGGATTTAACCTTCTGACCCCCATGCAAAATCAACAGAGTTCATTTAAGGAACTGGTTTTATTGTCAAAGAAATAAAGCGACAGATCTTGATCCTTCAGGAGGATGGAAAGGGTCTCGAGATCCTGGCGTCTGGAATGAGATTATGGTGGCTAGAAACCATTAACTGCAGGGATGAAATGAAAGAGAGCTCACTTTAGAATGATGCAGAGTGAGGCGTGGAGGGAAAGATGGCCTGTGTGGAGCGTAAGGTAGAGGGTGATACAGAGAAGCTGCGGGTCTGATGGAGCCGGGTGGAGAAATGATGAACTCGCTGCCTGAAACATTAAGCTGAAGTTTGATCACAAAGTTAATGCAATTCTTGGATTGTTTACAGCTAAAAATGTTTGTTTTTAGTTGTAAACAATGTTTATGGTCCCTGCAGGTGCAGTTTCTACCAGCAGGTGGCAGAGTTTCTCCATTTATTATTGTTCAACCAGTTTTATGCTCCTGCTATAGTTAAATATTACTTTTTCTCAACAAATAATTTATTAAAATGTTTTGATAAGATGATGAAGTTAAAATAAACTTGTTTTATTAAGAGTAAAATCCAGCAAGGCATGTTGAGAAGGTGGAAAAATAAATAAATTATGGAAATATCTGTTTTTAATGCTCTGTAATGTGAGCAGCTGTGCTTCCTGTCATCCCTCAGTCTTGAAATCGTCCCATGGCAGTGCCAACTTCGGCGTTCTCGGTAACCGGCCCATGAAGAACGAGAACAGCCCGTCTGGGGACAGACAGGTGAGCATCGGTGTTTACCTGAGCACTGAGCTCAGTCAGAGAGACGAAGGCTGAACATTTCACTCAAACACTCAGACGACGCCGAGGCGGCAGAGCGCCGACGGCCGGGACGACTCCACCCCGCGGAAACCTCTGAGCAGCCCGAGCAGAGCGGCCTCCACGCCGACACGCAGCGGACTCTCTGAAAACAGGTGGGGGAGGGGCGCCCTTTGTAAATGCAGCCGTGTTCAGGTCAGTTTGGTGCAGCTTGTTGTTGCTGCTTGTTTCAGGGGGGAGAAGAGGAAGAGGCTGCTGAACTCTGAAAGCGACCTGACAGAGGATTACCCCAAGGAGAACGACTCCTCCAGGTGAGAGCGGCGGCGGCTGCTGACGCGTCGACATGTTGATGTTGCACCAACGTGACAAAAACACTTTGATTTCAGCAACAACAAGGCCACTTCGGACCCGTCCAGGAAGTTTCTGCTGAGCTGCAAAGATAAACTGAAGCAGAGTGAGGAGAACCGAAGCTCAGGTAGACTCCGCCCCCGACGCCTCACCTGCTGTCTAAACCGCAGTGCTGTGAGGACCGTCACGTTGACGATGATGGCTTCACGTTGACGATGATGGCTTCACGTTGACGATGATTGAGTCACGTTGACGATGATTGAGTCACGTTGACGATGATTGAGTCAAGTTGAGGATGATGGCGTCAAGTTGACGATGATTGAGTCACGTTGACGATGATGGCGTCAAGTTGACGATGATTGAGTCACGTTGACGATGATTGAGTCACGTTGACGATGATTGAGTCACGTTGACGATGATTGAGTCACGTTGACGATGATTGAGTCAAGTTGAGGATGATGGCGTCAAGTTGACGATGATTGAGTCACGTTGACGATGATTGAGTCACGTTGACGATGATTGAGTCACGTTGACGATGATTGAGTCACGTTGAGGATGATGGCGTCACGTTGACGATGATTGCTTCACGTTGACGATGATTGCTTCACGTTGATGACACTCCAAATGTGTTTCAGACGTCTGGAAATGAGGCCTGCAGCTTCTGATTATTATTCTGAAGATTAATAGAATAAAACATCTGGCAGGTTCTGCAGATTGTAACCTCGGGTTACATCATACAATATTAAAGATACATCAAACATTAATCTACTTTTTATTTTCCAAATAAACGAGCAACAACAAAACTTTTGACTTTCTTTCAAAAACCTTTTTCCTTTGTTTCAGCGGATATTGATAAATCTCGCAGCGTTTGTTCAAATAAGCAACAAAACGTTTTTTAAACCAACAGCTGGTTTAAAGTTCTGCTGTTGCTCCTCTGCTTCCTGTTTACCTGCATCTCTCCGCCTGCAGCCCCGCTGGGCTCCGCCCCTCTTCAGCCGACCTCGTTCTACGGCAGCCGATCCGGAACCAAAGACTACGGCCAGAGCCACTCGTTCCTGGACAGGTGAGTTCCTCTCAGGTGAGACGATTCGGCGAGCCGCTGGCAGAGAGCGTGACGTTAATTGACGGTCGGCAGGGCCTCCGGCGCCGCTCAGACCTCCACCACCAAGAGAAGCCTGATGCTGCCCAACCACTCCACTCCCTTTAAGAAAGTCCGTCCGTCTCTGGATTACGGCTGGAACAAGCAGAGACCGTCCAGCCTGGCGCAGCCGCAGCCGCCCCTGCAGGGGTAAGGCCCCCTGCTGTTCTGGAGCAAACCGAAGCACAGATGGGCTTCAGCCTGACCCGACATCAAAAAACTGATTTTCTGCAGGTTCTCCAACCTGGGAAACACCTGCTACATGAACGCCATCCTGCAGTCGCTGTTCAGCCTCCCCTCGTTCTCCAACGACATGCTGAAGCAGAGCATCACCTGGAAGAAGGTTCCTGTCAACGCCTTGCTCAGGTGAGGCCTGCCGCCGCCCGCATGCCGCCGCCGCATGCCGCCGCCGCTTCACTGAAGCTTTGACCTGACCTCTGACCCCATGCATCCGTCTGCAGGCGCTTCGCCCACCTGATGGTGAAGAAGGATGTGGCCTGTCCAGAAACCAAGAAGGATCTGCTGAGGAAGGTGAAGAACGCCATCTCCTCCACGGCTGAACGCTTCTCTGGGAACGTGCAGAACGTAAGACTTCCTGCTTCCTTTCTGTGGCGTTAACACGTTCCTGCAGACTTTAACTAGACCCTCACCGAGAGCCAAAGGTCTTCTGGTGAGGTCAGGCTCACCTGCCCATCAATCCCGACTGTTTAAACCGTTTTATCTGATTTTTAGAAAGTAAAAAAAACATTTTTCACCAACAAGTGAACATGAACGTCCAGAAACAAGACGACTCACTGGAAGCGAAGCAGAAGTTCTAGAAGTTTAATTAGTTTTTATTCTAATGCGAACAAAAGTTGCAGAGATTAAGAGGCGGAGCTTCATAAGTTGAACCTGAAGTTGCCTCCGAACCACGAATCCTGGGTCAGTTCAATTGAAAAGTCCTTGATTAAATGAGTAGTTGTGGAGCGATCTCCAGTAGCAGCCAGTGTTGCAGCAAATCTGAAGAATCCTCCGACTGAAGATTGTTGTTGTATGTCTCATGACTGCTGCATGGATATCGTGCTGTTACGATGTCATGACAGAGACGAAACTCCACACTGACATGTTCTACATGACATCAACTGTTAGCTAGCTCGGCTAATCCACCTCATTTGCTTTTGCTGCTCCTCTTCAAAGACTCTGATTTAGTCTGGTTTGTTTGGGGAAGTGTGAACTCTGGATTCAGCCTGGCTGAGCGGACTCGAGTGCGGGGCATTCTGGGTAAATGTAGCTGAAGCTAACGTGCTAGCATAGCGCTAGCAGGAGAAATGGCTTGTGGTCTTTAGCCAAAGACTAGAAGGAAAACAAAATCAAATGCTGCTTTGTTTTTGTTGGTGAAGCAGGAAGTTGCTCTCAGTGTCTTCAGAGGTTTTAGTGTCGTTTCCCTCAGTGGTTGTCGGTGCAGCGCCCCCACAGGCCAGGAGGGGAACAGGCTGGTTGGACTCAGAGCAGAGAGAAACGGAACCAGTCAAACCCGGTTTAATGGACTGTCAGGGATAATTTGAGGGTTTGGAAATGTTAATCAGCTGCTCTCAGTTTTAAAACTAATACCTTGTTGCCATGATTGTGGAATAATTGTCCAAACGATTCAACCAGAGCAACCGTGACCTGAACCTGTCCCTGTCGGTCAGGACGCTCACGAGTTCCTGAGTCAGTGTTTGGATCAGCTGAAGGACGACGTCGAGAAGATGAGCAAAAGCCTGGCGATCGACACGGCCGCTTCCTCTTCCTCCTTGGTGACGTGTGACGGCCCTGCGGAGGCGACGCCCGGCGACGAGGCCGACACCTCCCGCATCTACACCTGTCCCGTGGCCGTCAACATGGAGTTCGAGGTGCAGCACACCATCACCTGCAAATGGTGAGACCTCTTCCTCTTCCTGCTCCTCTTCCTCCTGCCGGTTCTGAGGCTGTGATGCTTGTTGCTGGTGTTGCAGCTGTGGTGAGGTGGTGAACAAACGCGAACAGTTCAACGACCTTTCCATCGACCTGCCGCGCAGGAAGAAAACGCTGCCGCTGCGCTCCATCCAGGACTCCCTGGACCTCTTCTTCAGGGTCAGTCCTCCTCCTCTTCCTCATCTCTACAGCTAAAGATGCTAGCTATCATGTTAGCGTTGACCCAAGCTAACGTCTGCTGGCTGCTGTTTGTTTCCAGATGGAGGAGATTGAATATTCGTGTGAAAAGTGCAGCGGGAAATCTGCAACGGTTACTCACAAGTTCAGCAAACTGCCCAGGTACCACAGAACCGGCGCCGTGTATTACTGGGCCGGGCCTCATGTGACTGACTGCACATGTTGCTCTGCGTTGACTGTCATGTTTCACCATTAACTGTCAGCACTACAAAAACTAGACAACAAGGCTGAATGTGTAACAGTAAAAAGATCCAGATCATCAGTTTAAATGAGCTAATCAACCAATAAGTGTTGAGACGATCACTTATTGATCACAGCACAAACATCTAGCCTGAAAACATGAATCTAACAGGCGGAGTTCTGGTCTTTGTGGGAAATGTTTTCACTTTAACGTAGTTTCTTCTGTCGACTTGTTGTCAGTCGGTTGCCACGGTAACGGTAATGTGGTAAAGGCGGCTGCTACAGTTAGCGGCTAACGTCCCGGCGCTATCCAGCGGTACTTATCGCTGTCTGACCCGGCCCAGAGAAGGGGCTGAATAGAACCGGCTGACCCGTGTCTTCCTCTCAGAGTCCTCATCCTCCACCTGAAGAGGTACAGCTTCAACGCCCAGCTGTCCCTGAACAGCAAGCTGGGCCAGCAGGTTCTGATCCCGCGGTACCTGACGCTGCTGTCCCACTGCACCGACGGCACCCGGCCCCCCGTCAGCCTGAACTGGACCCCCCAACCCGCCACGTACGGCCCGCCGCACGCCGCCTCACCTCCACTTCCTGTTTCACCAGCTGATCATGTTTCTGTTCCTTCCTGAAGGTCCAGAACCCTGAAACCGTCACAGGCCATCAACTCCTCCACTACTCCTCAGAGGTGAGTTTCACCAGAACCAGAACCAGAGGTCCAGGCTGGCAGGATTTCAAAGCGTTAAAACTGATTTAATAATTCATCAAGCTAATAGAACAAAGTGGCTCTACAGAGCAGAACCTGCAGGTTCTGGTTCTGTTTCAGAATCTGGTGCCTTGATTTTTACTTTCATCCTTAAACTTTGGACCTCTGAGCACCAGCCCAGTTCTGGTTCTCCTCGGCCCAGTTCTGGTTCCCCTCGGCCCAGTTCTGGTTCTCCTCGGTCCAGTTCTGGTTCCCCTCGGCCCAGTTCTGGTTCTCCTCGGTCCAGTTCTGGTTCCCCTCGGCCCAGTTCTGGTTCCCCTCGGCCCAGTTCTGGTTCTCCTCGGCCCAGTTCTGGTTCTCCTCGGCCCAGTTCTGGTTCTCCTCGGCCCAGTTCTGGTTCTCCTCGGTCCAGTTCTGGTTCTCCTCGGCCCAGTTCTGGTTCTCCTCGGCCCAGTGAAGATGACTGAAGTCCAGTTGGAGCGGACTCAGATATTCTGCCTCAGTCTTGAATTGATTCTGCAGTTATTCTTTTTGTCCTTCCACTCAACTTTCTGCTACGATACTAGAACAATTTCTGAATATTCCAGTTTTCTGTTGCTCTGAATTTAGAGTTTCTATTCTCTGTGAGCCATAATCATTCAAAATATATCAATAAGTGTTTGGAAAGTTTTCCTTCATGTGTGATTGATTTTGGTTTCTGCTGCAACAGGAAGTGATGAGTTTTAAAGGTTTCTCTGATTTTTGCGTAGGAGAGTTGGAGGGAAATCCTCCAGCTGCAGCGCCGCCCTGCTGGACTCAGACTACGAAGACGAACCCACCAGGAAGGTGAACGTGAGCCGCAGGCGGCGCCTCAGCGTCTGCCTGCCTGAGGAGGACGACCGTCCAGAGGAGGTCGGGTCCAGCTCGGCGCCTCGCCGTCTCGCCCTCTTCTGGTCGTGTCGTTTTGAAGTTTGATGTGTTTTCAGAAGCCGGCGGCGGCGGCGATGGATTCGACAGAATTCAGTGGCATAAACGACGACGAGATGTTAGCCGCCGTGCTGGAGATGAGCCGACAGGAAGCCGGGCTTCCTGCAGCGGCGCCGCTGGAGGACGAGCCGACCAGCAGCCCTGACACCGGCTTCGGAGACTCAGACGTTCACGACATGGCTTATCACACGGAGCTGCTGGAAACAGACAGCAAGCAGCCTGCAGGTGGCGCTAGCTTTAATGCAGCAGGTTCTGCTTTAAAGGGGCAGTGAAATCCACGCTCTGATCTTTCTGTTATTCTCTTACACTGGAGAGGAGCTTTGATTCTTTAATGTATGTTTGAGAAATGTTTTAATCTCCACGCAACCATTCAACTCGGCAAAACGCTTGGGAGGACCTAGCCCCGCCTTCGAGGCACAGCTCCTCCCCCACTCAGCTCCTTCAGACTAGCCAGCAGCAATTAGCAAACAGCTGGTGGATCTGAACTCAGTTGTTGGCTGTTTGCTGTAAAATGACAACATGAGGCTGGAAAACATCAAACTGCCCCTTTAAAGAGCCACGTCAGCCTGACGGTGAAACCAGAGTTCTGTTCGGCCCAGAACAGCACAACTTCACACTCACGTTTGGGTTTGTCTCCACATGTTCTGGTGCCGTTCAGACGTTCTGGACTCCCTGGATCTGACCATGGATGAGAACAAGGAGAACCAGACGCCGGAGGGCGCGCAGCAGCCGGGCGAGCTGGACTGGGTCCAGCAGTACAACCTGGACCAGGAGCGGGAGGAGCAGGAGCTGCAGCAGGCGCTGGCCCAGAGTCTGCAGGAACACGTGAGACCAGAACCGCCGCCTGACTGCAGCTGGACCTCAACGGCACAAAACGCTTGTGCAGCAAAACTTTTCCTTTGTGCTGCTGCCAGTAAATAAATATTAAGAAAGCAGAAGCAGCACAAACTGAAACATTTGCTGCCAAGCAGCCCAGTTGATTCACATGAGTTTTGTTAGAATGTGGGGCGGTCAGCTTCACTCCGGTTCTGCCCGGTTCTGAACCCGGCCGTTCTCCTGCAGGAAGCCCAGGAGATGAGGGAAGACGACGACCTGAAGAGAGCCACGGAGCTCAGCCTCCAAGGTAGGCAGAGCTTCTCTCCGCCCGTCTCCGCTGCGCCCAGAGGGAACTGGAGCGTTTCTGTCTCCCCTACAGAGTTCAACAACTCGCTGCCGGAGCTGCTGTGTTCGGACGACGACTCCGGGAACGAAGACGTCTTGGACATGGAGTACACCGAAGCCGAGGCGGAGACCCTGAAGAGGAACGCCGAGGTAACGGCCGTCCGGCTGCCCCCAGACATCTGCCTGAAATCTGAAATGCTGAGCGCTTGATCTCCATCCGCAGGCCGGAGATCTGGCCAACTCCTACCGACTCATCAGCGTCGTCAGCCACATCGGGAGCAGCTCTTCCTCTGGTGCGCTCCTCTTCCTCCTCCTTCCTGTTTCCACCGCCGTTCCCCTATTAAAGCCGGGTTCTGATCTCATCCAGGACATTACATCAGCGACGTCTACGACATGAAGAAACAGTCGTGGCTGACCTACAACGACCTTGACGTGTCGCGCACGCAGGAGGCCGCTGTGCAGCGGGACCGCGACCGCAGCGGATACATCTTCTTCTACATGCACAGGTGGGTCAGTGAGTCTGAGCGACAGCCAGTCGATCCTTTTTCAGAAGTCGTAATGTGGCGGAGGAACACGCTTATCGTATTAATGATCTGTTTCCTCGGGACGCGATGATGAGGTTCCTTGTTTTAACTAGACAGTTAAATGCTTCCAGATTAAAGGGCTAGTGCCCTAAAATCAACTCTCGGTTTAGCATTATGATGTCATTCCCTCTAAAACATACTGGAGTTGCCGTTCATCTCCAGGGCAACCATTCAACTGTGCAAAACGCCTGAGTGGTCTTAGCCCCGCCCTCAAGACGCAGCTCCGCCTCAGAGACCGAGGCCTGATTTCAGGAGCTAAACTATTAAATACATTTTATTTGAAGTGACTGACCCAAAACCCGCGGCTGTTCCCGCGCGAGCCGGGCTGATCCGGCGCGAGCCGGGCTGATCCGGCGCGAGCCGGGCTGATCCGCTGACCCATCCGCTGACCCATCCGTCCGTCTGTTTCAGGATGTTTTCGAGCAGCTGTCGGAGATGAGCGGTCCGGAACCAGCAGCGCCTCTGAAGCAGGAAGGAACGTCCTGCAGCCGCTCTGAGGATCCTGCCGCTCCCTGCTAGGTGGCGCCGTCTCCTCCGTTTGCTCCTCTGCTCAGACGGGGAAGCGTTACGACTCAAACGTTCAGCGGATGGAACTTTGCCTCCATGTCTGAGGCCATTTTGTTTTTTGTTTTTGTCGTCCTGGTTTCAGCAGACGCTGCTGGTTCTGGTTCTGTTTGCAGATCCTTTAGTTCTCTACTAAATAAAGAAATTCTATGTTGGAGTAAATCTGTGGCAGAGCTAGAGGCTTGCTGTGTTTAGCGGGTCCGTTTGGTGCAATACGTAGGTTCTGGCTCGGTTCTGCTGGGTCGGATGCTTTCCGTTGCTTTTGTGCTGCTTTGTGTTCGGTTCTGTCTGTTAGTTACTGAGCTTCTGAGTGGACCCGGCATTATTGGGTTTTGTGCCTCCTGAGAAACCTTTCTGCTGTTTGAGCTTTATTGGTTTCTGGGTGTTTGGACCTTCGTTTGTATAAAGCTAGCAGATGGTTCTGGTGCTGGCAGCGTCGCGGCCCACAGGAAACTTCCCGTTTCTTCGGTATTTATCGACTCGATCTAGAGGAAAATCCTTGTTTATAGTTTATAATCCACTGTAAAATGAAGCAAGTCATCATAATTTACCCGCATCAGATGATTTCTTTTAATATTCTCCGTTTGGGCAGAGGGGACGTCCAGCCGGACGTCCAGCTGGACGTCCAGCCGTCTGAGTGAAACCTGCAGGCGTCAAGAGGCTGAAATGTATTTATGCAGTGAGAGTGAGAAGCTTTTTCTACCCTTCATACTCGACTGATTCTTCCTGAAAGCAGATTTTAATAAAATTATAGTCAAAACACAAACTGGATTAGTTCTTTTGTAAATAACGGTTTGAGTTTTTGTTCTGCTGTAAATGTCCGTCCAGCAGTCGCTGTTTTCACAGAGAACTTCAGCGGTCGAATTCGTGCAAAACATTTAGCGCGGCGCTGATCGCGGCGTCACGTTTCTGGGCTGAACGCCTTCATGAGCGGCTCAAGATGGCGGCCGGTCAGTCTGTTGTATTCGCTCAGGATGTATCGCTCCCTCTGCAGCATCTGCAACAAACGGCATCAACAACCGTCAGCCCCATCCATGCACAATATGAGAAACAAACATTTTGGACGTTTTGAAGGGAATATTATTATCCCCTACTCCAGCATCTCTGGTCTCGTCCAGCTAGCTGTTAGTGCCAGGCTTCAGTCAGAGGCCTCTTCATTAGTTGCAATACTGACTGCTACTGGAGATCCTTCCTGCATCATCATTCACAGCCACTTTGTGACGATCAGTTATGACAATATTTAACTTCTCTTTGGAATAAAGTATTTTTGAATTGAATAAAAATGATATGCATCAAAGTTTGACTGATCTGAACAGAACCGTCTGTTCTGATCTGGAGTGATTATAGCCATCATAAGGCTGGAAACAACAAAATGGCTGCCGGCTGGTGAAGCCTGGTGCTGTGGGTCAAGCTGCTGACTCACCTCGGCCCATTCCTCCTCCGTCTCATGCCGGTAGCCCAGCAGGTGGCAGATGCCGTGAGCGGTGACCGCCTGCGGGACAGCAGAGCGTGACTGACATGCAAACCAACGGAGGATCAGAGACGAAGGGAAATTGGGCACAACATTTCTAGATTCATTACATGAATGTAAATGTGCAGGAAAAAAACATTAAAAGCTTAAATGTCAAATTATTTATGACGTCAGAAATAAAGAAAAAAAGTAAATTTACTAAAATAGAAATATGTGCAAACTCCTCCAGCATCTGGATGTTTCCTGGTGTTGCTGTCGATTCAGGCTCTTTTCCTGCAGCAGAGCGAGATCTTCCAGGTCCAGACTCACTTTGGGTCGGAACCAGAAAACACCTGAGACTGTGAGGAGGAAGCTGCTGAACTCTGAACCCGAGAAACGTTCTGATCCAGGAGAAAAGCCCGATGGACGGCTTCCGGTTCAGAAAACATCCAGACGCTGGTCTCAGATTCACCACCTCAGTCTCCGACTTTATGATCTCCAAACATTTTCGTCAGAAAACTCAAGAGTTTTTCTCTTGTAAATATGGAAAATTATTTTCTCAGTTTATGGTGTAAATTTGCTCTGATCTGTTTCAGCAGTGAATATGATCACATGAATCCATAGAGCTCTGGTAACTCACAGTCAGAGCTCCATGAAGGTCCAGCGATTCTTTTTGGCACTGATTCATCACAAACTCGACTCCCAGGAAAACGTCTCCCAGGTTCAGCTCGTCTCTGTGCAGCGGGCAGGGCAGCTTCCCGGGCCGCAGGTCCTGGAGGGACAGAGAGACAGGGACAGAGAGAGAGGGACAGACAGGGACAGAGAGAGAGAGGGACATGACTTGAGCTGAACGCTTCGGGACTCTACATGGAACTGGACAGAAAATGTCCATCATTTCTCTCAGGACTGTTGCTCTAGTATCACAACCGTCACTTTAAAACAGTCTCCAAAGCTAAAGGTGATAACTTGTAGATGCTTTTCTATTTCTTGGCAGTCATGGGCTTCCATAAAGACTTCTGTCTCTTCAGCGTCTCATTTGTCTTTTTTTCTTTCAACCCATTAATTTAAGTTTCCATATCCGGAATAAAACAGAAACTTCCAGAAGGTTCAGCAGCTTTTAAATGTTTTAACTCCTTCATTCCTGTGCGCCACAAAATGCGGGAATCACCATGGCAACCGCGGCCTTTGTTTTGGAAGTTAGCTTAAAGTTTCATAATAAACACAAACCCGAACAAAATCTGGTTGTGTCACATATAATAAAGTTACCTCCGGATCAGACAGTAGATTTAATATTCAGATCTAACGAGTCGGTCACCTCGTAAAACGGGAAGGACAGGACGTCCGTCGGCGCGTTTTTCTTCCTGTACAGGTTGTTGAGCTGCTGCATCCTGCGGTTGTCCACGCAGATGATGCCCAGGTCGAACTTCTGGATGCCCAGGATGTGTCTCAGCGTGTCCACGTCCCTGCGCAGCCTGGCGCGGCGCAGAGGGACCACCTTCTGCAAGTTCCGCAGGACCACTCCCATCTTAAACCCGGTACATGGACCTACCCGAACCGAGCCTCGAGCTTCCGATACGAACCGACACCGAGCCTCAAGGAGAACAGCCTCATTCAGACTCAGTCATTCAGGACACAATTCAAGGTGACACCATGAAGCCGGCGCTGAAGTTGGCTTCTGACTCACAACTTCCGGTTTGAGTCTTGATTAAAGGGCGAGTTCAACATTTTCCCCGATTCAGAATCTAAAAACTGACAATATTTAGTCTTAAAATGAACGTTATTAAATTTAACAGGATTTAATGTTCCTGTGATCTGCACAAGCCGACCTGTGCTCCACCTGCTCGTTAATTATCAGTTGATTATCAGTTAATTATCAGTTGATTATCAGTTAATTATCAGTTGAATTTGTTTGTATTTAAGTTTCATACAACTCAGTAGAAGACACATTTGTTTATATTTAATGTAATTAATTTAATTAGATACGACGAATGATTAACTCCACACACAGAAAGAGAGAAAAATGTAAAAACTGAAGATAAATAGAAGAAATACTCAAGAGGAACGATGGAGGAGAAGAGAGAGAAGAACAGGGATTATTTAGTCCCTCCTGGGCATCAGCATTTAATCTGTCTATTTTATAAGATTATTTTCTGTGATTAATTGTTGACCATCAGATATAAAGTACTAGATTGAGGTCTCATATGGTTTCTTTCACAGATCTCACAGGTTGTCCACACCAGAATAAATCCTGTTTTATGATTCAACATGTCGCCTGAATCCCTGAAGCTGCTACATTAACTATGGAACTTTTTATTTTATTTCATTTTTGACACAATAAATGGTGGGTTTTAAACTTTAACATGTAACTGTATCAGAGCAATAATGATGTTTTATCATGGTGTTGATTGATCTAGGAAAGTTTGAACAAATTCAAGGATTTACATGGAAAACATTTTGAAACAAATCAAGTCTACAGGTAAAAACAGTAAAGCTGCACTTATTAAATATTCACAAATTAAAGGTTCATATTGTATTTTGAGAGTCTGCCTAAAATGGTTTAAAGTTCAAGTTTGACCCATCTAAATATTTTGGTTTTTTATAATACTTTAGGACTTCAGGCATAAAAAGTTTTAAATTGCATATTTTTAAATGTTTGAGTAAATTTATTAGATAATTCAATAAAGTATTGTACAGAATCTTAGAATTCTACAGAAGTTAGAATAAATGATGCCAGATCTCACAGACTTCCTGTTACAGAGTTGGAACTGTTGGTCAATATTTTAAAGTTTTGTTTTTATTATTTCAAATGAGGTTATACGAATCAGAAGCAAACAGGTTAAACACTGTTTCTATTTGATTTAGATTCTCAGTTTACATGTTGAATAAAAATAACAACCATTTTTGATAGAAAGCACTCACTTAGCACATTGTGGGTCAATCAAAATATATCTGTTTTATTCTTTGCCGTTTCAGCTCGAGAGTCGCGGAACTGAATATAGGGTTAATCGGGGACTAAAAACGTCGTCGGACCGGAGCCGGAAGTGTGAAGTTATTTGAGCGGATCCTGAACGAAAATACAATAAACCCGAGTAAAATTATGGATAGTTTTTATTTGAAGCTTGTATATATTGGGCACGTGTGAAATTCAAGACTTTGTTTTGTATTTCTGATAGCGGTAGAAGCGAGAGAAATGAACATTTGGGGCATTTTTAAAGCTGATTTTTGTGGGAGTTAGCCGATGCTAACAGCAGAGCTACAAACTGTTGCTCAGATCGAACCAGTTGGATCCGGTTACACCCCATAAAGTTGCTTATCTGCGCCATGAATCCGTTTGGAAGTCCGCAGGGAGGGGCTTTCCAGGCCCCCAGCAGCTCATGAAGCCCGGTCTGTTCCAGGGGTTCGGGCAGCAGAATTCCAGCGGATCTCAGGGACAAATTTTTCTCCAACCTCCTGCCTTCGGACAGCAGTCTGCAGCGCTTCAGCCTGCAGTGCAGAGTGGCTCCATTTTCGGACAACGATCTGTGATGAACCAGCCTGCCCCCAAGGTGGCTCCATCTTCGGGCAGCCATCTATTGTCAGTCAGCCCGGAGGTCAGGGTGGTTACATCTTCGGACAGGCATCCAATCAGCCTGCAGCTCAGAGTGGTCCATCTTCGGACAGCCATCTAATCAGTTTCCAACTCAAGGTAATTCCATCTTTGGACAACAATCAAACCAGTCTCCAGCTCAAAGTAATTCCATCTTCGGACAGCCATCAAATCAGCCAACGGCGGAAAGTGGTTCCATCTTCGGACAATCACCTGCAGTGAATAAGCCATCCGATCAGAGTGGATCCGTTTTCGGACAGCATCCCGTTGTTAAACAGCCTTCAGGGCTGATTGGTTCCATCTTCGGACAGGCGTCTGTCGTTAATCATCCGGCGCTCAGAGTGGTTCCATATTCGGACAGCCGCAAGCAACAAATCAGCCCGCAGCTCAGGTTGGTTCAGTTTTCGGACAGCAGTCTGTTAATCAACCTGGAGTTCAGAGTGGTTCCATTTTCGGACAGCCATCCACGGTTAATCAGCCTGCTACTCAGAGTGGTTCCATTTTCGGACAGTCATCTACGGCTAATCAGCCTGTTACTCAGAGTGGTTCCATTTTCGGACAGGTACCTGCCCAGGCCCAGCTTCCCTTGAGCAAGGCTCCAGCCTTTGGGCAGCCTCCTGTGAATACCAGCAGCTCAGCTGCGGCTTTCGGACTCAACCAGAGCTCCGTGTTTGGACAGAGCCCCTCCTTCATCCAGCCCTCTGCGTTCGGTCAGCATTCAGGTTTGGGAAAGGCCCCTCCTGCTTTCGGGAACCTCTCAAACCGTCGGGCCCCACCGGCTCCAACCCCTCGTTTGTGCAGCCGGCCTCCAGCGTGTTCAGCGCCCCTCAGAATGTGAACCAGAACCGGGGTTTTGGACCTCCAGAGTTCAGCTTCAAGCCTCCCAACGAGGCCGTGTTCAAACCCATCTACAGCGGCAGCCCAGAGCCGCCCAGCAGCCGGGGCCCGGCCCCCTCCGGCCCCTCTGCTGGCTTCTCCTCGCTGGCCGGAGCCAAGCCTCTGGTCTTCAGCTGCTTCACCAGCCGGCAGCTCCCCATTCTGGCCCCCACCCGCCATCAGGCGGTGGCAGCGGCGGCCCTCGGTTCTCCTTCACCAACCCGCCGGGCCCAGCGGGCCCCGGCTCCACGGCGGAGCCGACCACCCCGTCCTCCTTCGGCTTCACCTCCACCTCCCTGGAGACCCAGCCCACGCCGTTCTCCTCGTTCAGCCGCCCCTCCACCTTTGGCGACTCTGAAGCCGAGTTTGGCCCTGAAGATAAGGAGGCCCCGGAGCCCAACGTGTTCGCTCGGCTCAGCAAAGCAGCCAAGAGGAAGGACGACCCGACCGCTGGCGGTCCCGAGAAGCCGGGCGGCGAGGACGACGCCCCCTCGCCGCCGGACGTCGACTCACCCAGACACCCCGCCAAGAGGCCGGTGGTGAGGGCCCGGGGCATCGCAGGGGGCCTGTTTAGCCGGGCGCTGAGCGGCATCCGGAAGGAGCAGAGCAACCCGGTGAGGAGGGAGGCCCTGAAGGAGGCGCCGAGGCCCCCCGCCGCTCTGGGGCCCCCTGCTGTGGGACCCACTGAGAAGCCGGCTCCAGAGGAGCCAGAGGGAGCTCAGGGACACGAACCGCCGGCCAAGACGCTCACAGCGCCGGCGATGAGCAGAGAAACTGCAGAGACACCAGAAGATTCAGGTCAGAATATTAATGTTTAATAAAAATTATGGAACGGATTGATACGCTATAGGACGGATTGATACATGATAGGACGGATCGATACACGGATTGATACTCTATAGGACGGATCGATACGTCTGCCACAATAACTCCAGGGTTTCCCACAGGGCATTATAAGCCTGGCGGGCCACCAGGCTGAGCATTACTGATTTAATTAAATCTTTGTAATATATTTACTTTTCCCAAAACTTCATTATCAGTGATATTTTCAAATTTTCTGTGAACTTCAAACATTTTTTTAGCTCAAAAACACGACAGACTGCTGGATGAATGAATGAGTGAGTGAGTGAGTGAGTGAGTGAGTGAGTGAATGAATGAATGAATGAGTGACTGCCCTTGTGCTGGTGGATGAGCAACAACAATAATAATAATGTTTAGACAATAATCAGGATTTGTTTCAGTCTTTATGTATTTAAATAATTCTGGTTATTTGAAGACAAATCTTTTCTGCTGCTCTGGACTTTATGGGTGATGAAGCTGCTCATCCACCTCCTTTTTTTGCTGCTCCTCTGTTTTCTCTGGCCGAGTTGAAACAAAATGGTGTCTGTCCTCTGCAGGCCCGTCTGACCCTCTGACCTCAGCCTCCGAGGCGTTGACCCCGGTGGGCCGTGGGCCCCGCAGGGACAGCGTGGACAGCCTGAGCGGAGGTCTCCCAGCGATCTGACCACCATCATGGTCAGGAACGTCCCTCCAAGCCTCAACAAGAAGGACGTGATCCAGAAACATTTCTCTCGTTTCGGGAAAGTCTGTAAAACTTTCTGCCGCCCCAACAAGAACCAGGCCGTGGTCCACTTCCACGACCCCGTGAGTCGCTCTCCTCACTTGGTCTGGGGTCAGACGTTTCATCCTGGCATGTCGGTGGAATCGGTTTTTAATTAGGACTGAAACAATTGTTGAAATAATACATCAGTGATTTATTAATTAACTGATTCTAGAAAAGGCCAATTTCTAAATGAACAACAAACTCAGAGCCGTAAGGAAACAGGAAGTAAACCTGCTGATGACCCTCCAGGCTTCAGATCATCAAACTTTCACTAAAGACTTTATGCTTCTAGGAAATAAAATGTTTATTATTTAATTTTCATTTATTTCTAATATTGCAAAAAATAAACTTAAATGATTAAATGAGAAATCTGCAGAATGTTGCAGTTACTTTTCAGATTAATCACCAGAACAATTGATTAATCGATTAGTCGACACAATAATCAATCAGTTTGATAAATCCCAATGCTAATTAATTTGATAAAATAATCGATTAGTCTGATGATAGAAGAATGGTTAGTTGCAGTCCTACTCTTACTGATTTATTGTGATCATTCTTTGTGAGTGAAAGTCTTACTGGTTTTGCTGGGAGCAGTGATGGTTTTCTGACAGGAACAGGAAGCGGCTCGGTGCTGCAGCCTGGTGGTGAAGATGAGCCACTGCAGTTCTGCTCATCTTTTTTTGTCTTTCAGGCTTCGGCTGCTAAAGCGAAGCGGCGAGGGAAGGTTCTGCACCGACACGAACTGCTGCTGCTCTGGCAGAGGAAGAAACACAGTAAGCAGCAGAACTTCAGCATTTAAAGTCCAT